CAGCCCTTCTCGAGGGACAAGTCGAAGCCCGCCGGTGGTGGCCATCATGCCTTGGAGGTGCGTTGCCCCGGGGCCCTGTGCCAGGACAGGGTTTCTCAGCGAGAGCTGTGGCATTGCCAACACATTGCTGTAAGGATGGAGAGCTGCCTTACGCCAGCATCTGTCCCTCTTGGATTTTGCTCTTTGACTCCTTGAATCCTGGAGAAGTTACGCTCATGCAGCAGCATTTGGGGAGCGAGCGGGCTGCAGGCACCGTGCAGGAGAGCAGTGGCAGGACTGAGGTCTCCGGGATGGATGGGGTGGTCCCAGAGACCACTGGCAGCTGAGCCTCTCGTGCTGCTCCCTTGTCCCAGAAGAGCAGAGGTCCCAAGCCAAGCACTAGCACTGTCAAGGGTTTCCTGGACAAGCTGATGCTGAAGGAGAACAAGAAGAAAGGCTGCTTCAGCACCCTGCCGAGGAACCCGAGCTGCCCCACGGAGAGGATCTTCTGGGTCACGCTCAGCCAGTGCCCGAGGGAGGCGGTCAGTGGGAGCAGGGACATCAGCACTGGCTGGTGGCACCGGCATCACCTGTTGGATGAATGGATGGATGGATGAGTGGATGGACGAATGAGTGGATGGATGGATGAGTGGATGAATGGATGGGTGGGTGGATGTGTGGTTCTCTGACATTGTCCAGCTCTTTTTACGAGCAAACTGAAGCGTAACAGGTTTTCTTCTCTGCAGTATGCAGTGGGGCCAGGCTCCTACAACCCAAAGCCTGTTGAGAGATCACTGTACTCCAGCCAACCCCCATTCTGGTCATCTGCCAAGCGGTTCGACAGAAAGTTCTACCGCCTCTTGACTGGGAATGAGGTGAGTGAACGGACACAGCAGCGAGAGAGGGACACAGGAACGGTCAGGCTCTGAGCTTCCTCCTCGACCGTCCCCAGTCCATTATTGACACTGCTGGGAGAAGATGAAACTCTTCTGAGCCAAAGTACGGGTGGGCGCTCCTCACAACTTCAGCCAGATCAAGGTTAGTTGTGTCCTCTGAATGGAGCAGCACCCCAGCAGAAGCCCTGCATGGTGGCTGGCTGTTACAGAAGGGCAGACTGATCTCAAGAGGTGCTTTTCTCTCCTCGATGATTGTCAGGGAAACCTGGGTGACTTGGCCGGCTGCCCAACCTTTAGAGAGGAGATGAGTTCCTCTCTGGTTGCTGCTGCTCTTGCCCAGAACAGGTTGCTAAAGAATAAACGGCGAATAAAGGCCTGCGGCCCAGCGCCCTGCCAGGTCGAGGGGAAGATGTCCCTGGCGTACATCGCACGCTGAGCACCCACGGCTGAGCAGGTGCTGCCCGTGGGCAGGTGAGCTCGGCTGGTGCTGAGCAGAGGGGCAGGAGCTCAGCGGCGACCGCGTTACCTCCGCCTGCATCCTCAGGCTGTTGCCCTTTTCAAGGGATGCTCAGACAACCCTTCTCATTAGTTTTGCTCTGCATCAGCCGCAAGCAAGCAGATGCGCTTCATGGATGAGGGCAGCTGGGTTTGAATCCTTTCAGGTGCCAGGAGCTCCTTGTATCCTCCCAGAAAGTCATATTCTGCTGCTTGGAAGCCAGTTTTCCCTCTAGCAGCATCAGCAGTGCATTGCAGCACCAGTGCAGATAGGAGCCCTTCCCTCAGTACCCGTTCCTGGAGCTGTATTCATCTTGGCGGCTTCCCCACGGAGAAGCAGAACAGAACCTGAAGGGCTCAGAGCAGACAGGGAAAGCTTTAGTCTGAATTAGTCCACCTTGGCTAGGGATGAGGAGCAGGCTTCCACGTGGCTTATGCCCTTTGTCCAGCTGAGTGGGGAGCACGTAACTTGAAGGTAGTCATGGATGAAGACTCCTTCATAATCGCTGGGGAGCTCGACAGGTTCCATTTCAGCGGGGAGGCTGTGACACGGCAGCCCTGTGCTACAGCTAGCAGGAGGCGACTGGTGAGCGCGCTGGAGCCTGCAGAGCTAATTGACTTCTTTATGGACCGCTGTGATGAGAAGAACTGCTCACGCAGGGGACTGGCTGGGCTAATACCAATTAGTGTGTCTTCTCCTCCATCTCCCACAATGTAGGCTCAGTTTCATTAAGATATGCCACATGTTGTTGTATATTTTGCAACTAAAGGCCTGACCACGTGAAGCCACTACCTGGTTTTGCCCTACTCGCATCCCCACGCTGTCTCTGGATGGGGGAGCACATGAGACCTTCTCCTTCCAGAACCCTGTAGGTGTCGGTTGCTACAACATCACTGAGCAGGAAAAATACCCTCAGAAGATGAGATACCAGTCCCTGTACCGGTGTGACGCGCAGGGGTACCTGAGCAACTTGAAGCGGGATGCCCACTTGCTGTAAGTCTGACAGACAAGGGGGCTGTAAGCGGTTTCGCACCGGCCTACAGGAAAATCATCTTGAGCAGCTCTGGGAGACCGAGCGCACGTTACTGACACTACAACTGCTGTGAGGTGGGATGATTGTGTAGTTAAAGCACTGGGTCAGGGCTGAGAAACGCCCACCAGCCCCACCGCAGGTTCCCTCCGTGGATGGGGAGGTTGGTATCGCTGCATCTCTCCCCTCCTGGGAAAGCGAGGAGACCTGCGTGCTTCCCCACCGCGTAGGAGTGGTGGGAGGGTTGAAGAGCTGCTGGCTCTCAAGGCCCTGCACAGATGCCAAGGTGGTTGTTGCATCTTGCGAAATGCAATTTGCCTGCAGTGGAGTTGTAGGCAAGTAGTTTCCACCGAGGTGGAGGCGGCAGCCTGGGAAGGACCCGGGAGGTGGACAGATAATCAGGCTGTGTGAAATTCCCAGTGCCCGCGCTGGCTCAACGGCCCCAAACAAAAATCACCTACTCAGGCCGTGCCTTGGTTTACCCACCTGAGGAAGGAAGATAACAAGGCTCACTTCCACCGCAGAGGGCTTTGAAACCTCTAGCATGAAAGCCCTGCGAGGCAGTTGGGAACTGCACTAATGAGAGGCCTCGGGACAGCCCTCCGCTCTCACCTTTGCTCGCGGCCAAGATTAGCGAACTGCTGCGGTGGCACTACGGGCTGACAGCTCTGCAAAGCTCTGTCTTGATCTCCAGAGAGGAGTTAGAAATCACCTTTGGCTGAATATAACTCGGCAGCTTTCAGCGGGGCAGCCAGAAGTTAGCACTCCTGTGATGGAGAAAGCATAATGAAATTTGGCTTTCAATATTGCCCAGCTTTGTTAATTTTGCACTTCCAGTAGGAATAAAACAGAAATCTGAGCGGCGAGCAGGGCTTGGAATTCAAGTGCATCTCTCTGATCAAATAGCACAAGCTCTAAAATCACTTTTCAAGCCACAGCCACGCTTTGCCGGGAATAGCCAGGCTTTTAAGAGCTCTGTTCACCTCCATGCTCGTTAAGACTAATGAGATTAATCCAGCCAATAATTTGAGCTCACTGAATCACATCCTCTTTCCACAGCGAGCGGCTCAAGCCTGTTGGTAAAAACAATTGGTGTGATTTGGTTTCTGCTCCCCACTGTCCAGAGAGCTCTGAAGGAATCACTGCTGTTTTCCAAGCGTAAGGTGGTGCTGGGAAGCCCAGATCAGTGCGTAACAGGCTGACGCGCCAGCGGACGGGACGGGGCAGGTGAAAATCCAGCGTGCTGGCAGGCAAGGCAGGAGATAGGAGACAACTCAAGCCTTGCTCTGTGGTAATAAAACACTCCCAGACAACCAGCAGCCTAGCTTTTCTGTTGAGTCATTCCTCATTTCCACCTCGGCCTTTATAACAGCGACACGTCTGAGAAGAGGATGCCAGGTACGGCACAGCCTCCAAGGGGAGGCCTGCTGCCACGCGCTGCGCACGCGGTGCTGAACACTGCCTTTCAAACGATGCTAATTAAAGAAATCGTGTAGCTGGTGTGGGCATGGTGGTGTTACCACAGGTGAAGCCTCCCGGTAGAACTCAGCGAGGAGCTGAGGAAGCAGTACTGTGGGGACGGGGTTCGAGCAGCCAGGCCTCGGGCAGCTGCCTACGGACCCGTCCCCGGCCATCTTTAGAGTATCGATGTGCGAGGGTCTGTGGCGCAAGCTGGAACGTGCTGCTTCACTTGAGTTAACGACGTTTGTAAGCAGCTGGAGGGAATTACGGGGAATTTAGTGCCATCGTTCCAAACTTCGTAGGATGATAACACCTAGATGGTAACAACTTCGTTGGCAGTGATAAAGGACGGCTGTAAAAATGTGCTGGGAGTACGCTGGTTCACTTCGAGTTAACCTTTATGAAGCCTCGTACTAGTGTTTAGACCAGACCGGAATAATTAAATCTAGGTGTAATTACATGTTAGTTGTGGCTGATTAGGTATGCTAATTAATCTGCAATTATCCTTTGGTGGGGGGCATAATTGAACACAGGTAAAACTGCAGTGATTTAAGGCAATCCCAATGATTATTCCAGAGAGGCAAGCAAAGGAGGGAGGAGGTCCCTGAAGGGAAATGCCTGAGGAGGGACGGGCACGTGCAGGCTACAGAAACACGCTGGGGTGATGAGAGGGTTGTGAAAGGCAGCATGAGCCAGGGCCAACACCAAATGCGACTACCGGAACGCAGGGCTTTGGCACCTGCACTGCGGTTTCTCTGGGGCCGAGGCATTCAGCAGCCTGGATTTCGGGAGAAAGCCCAGGACCTTCTCTCCGGGAGGAGAGCACTGAAGAGGATGCATCAGCTGCAACCAAGGGGGAGGCAGGAATTCCTCCGACTCAGCCCACAGCGCTGCTGCGGAGGCGTTTTTCAAGGAAGCCAAAGATGCGGGTGTGAAACTCCTCAGGCTGAAGAGTGCACTGAATCCTTATCCTCGCTTCTGTGGCTGCTCATTCGAACCAGGGATTAGATTTATTAGCGTGAAGTGAGAAGAATGAAGTAGCTATCCATGTCAGGGCTGTAGCACCTAAATCCAAAATGGGGTTTTGTCCTCTTTGGACAAAACATCACAGGGAAAGAATGAGGTGTGGGGTAGAAAATCAGGGTAATTGGCACGGTGAGGCTATGCGGGGCGTGACCGAAGGGTTAGGGCTCAGCCGTAATGTGTTTGTTTTGCACAGGTGTGTCTTGGGGCAGAGATAAGTGCAGACTCACAGACTTCAAAGACATTCCTCCAAAGCTGTTTTGCAGCACTGGGCTCCTCATCTCCCAGCCAGCTCCCACGGCCTCTGATCTTTCACCCAGACAGCAGCTTTTCTTGTTAATCGCTGACCATTTGTGACAATACAGTAAGCACCAGAGATGATAAACGCAGCTGTTGAAAAGTAAGCAATTGCTCATTAGAAGACACCACTTTGAACAGTATGCTGGCTAGATCTTTATTTTAAACAGCCCGTACAACCAAAAATGAAGAGCATCAGCAGTTATGCATGTGTGTGACCGATACAGGTACAGTACCCAATCACGTCATACAAAGTTTGCCAATAAATTAAGGAGTGAAAACCCAAATACAGTGCATACCTAAAGATCATCAGTACATAAGTGAGAGAAACACTGCCTAAGTAAAAGTATTTGCATATCCTCTAGCTGGTTTAACATCGCCCTTTAAAAGCGAACGTAACCCATTCTTGCTCTGTGCAGATCATCTTACAAGCACTGGGCTAAGCCGCAGCTTTGCCCCAGTGACGAGGCACCGGCTCTTGTTCCGCTCCCCGCCAGGGGCAGGAAGGCCGGTTCCACCCTGAGAAGCAGCGCTTGCCTCCCGGTGTCCCCAGAAGCCTGGAACGGGGTAGCAGACACTCCTGGATCACTGACATAGCTCTGCTGCCCTGCTCTGGCTGGGGCAGCTCTGCGGTGGCTGCGTCTCCCCTAGGCAGGCTGCCCCTGCTACCAGTCCCCTGCACGGGATGTTAAGGGGTGCCTTATTTGCACATGATTTGCCCAGTGTGCATCACTGAGTAACAGGCCAGACTTATTCTTGTTACTGCTTTATCATTGGTTTCATGTGGACCATAAACATCCATCTATCAATAAATAAAATCATTGGTTTAGCACTCATATAAAATTATGCCTCCCTCTGGCACCTTCACATTACCCCCGACACAAGCCTCCAGAAAATTACTTGTTTCCCTCAAGCTCAGTAAGGTTTCAAGTAACAATTTAAAGTACTGCTTGGACAAGACACAGGCTTGGTTGGAACCATGTTTCTGGCTACAGGATGAAAACATTTCCACACTTCTACGCTTGGCTGTACGAAGTGTGTGACTGTGCCATTTTCAACAGTGTGCAGCAGAAGGGGAACTGAACAGCACTGACTACTGATTTCCCCTCAGGTGACTGAAACTGTCCTTTTACAAGGCCTATCAATCTAATCCAGCTAAAATGAAAAGCAAAAATGTCACTCGAGTCAAAACCAAAGCCTGTGTGTATCGAGATTCACAACAAGAGTTCTTCTTATCCACAGCCATTTGCTCTAACAGACCTCGTATAAACAAAGCTTTGACTTCCTACCGGCCAGGACGGAGCGGTCCAAAACAACCCACATCTTCCTCCAAGTGAGTATTTATAAGGCACTAAAATTAAGCAACAACCAAAACCCCAAAAAAAACACCAAAACCAAAACCAAGAACAATCCAAATAAACTGACTCACAATGAGTAAAAAATGAAATTAATACTTGTCTATATGAGATAGCAGCAACTTTCTCTGTAGTCTACAGAGCCAGAACACTGATATTTTGGGACAAAAACCAAGGCGCTGTTGACCAATTGAAAAGTACCTAAAACCTATATCCACTTGCACTTTATAATCAAAATCAGTACAAATCTGATAGGCACAAGTAAAAAGCATTTTCTTCACACCTCAACACTCAGCTTTGAAACCGAAGCCACTGTCAGGGAGTCGAATGGCTCTGTTGAGATTACAGCACGGTACACCCCAAGCAGCGAAGCACCACCCAACACCGTGCAGCGCTGTACAGCCGGAAGACTGCGGTACCATTGCTAAGCTGCTCTACAGGTTACCCACTGGAGGCAAATGTATTTAACATCACAATTAATCTGACAATGTGTTCACCTTTGGCACCCATTTCTAAGCCCTCCCTGTCATTTTCAAAAGTAAGTTTAAATACAGCTACAGTATACAGCTGGTGTAACTCCAGCATCTTCTTCCTTTCCAATTATGTTTCTTATGCTCGGAAATAGGTGAATTCACCTATGTCACGACATCAGATACAAAGGCTAGCACTTAAGAGTTCTTAAAAACAATCACTTTGAGTTTCGAAAATTGGTTTTAAAACATATGAAGACATACTAAACATAAACTCATAAAGCAGGAATTCATACCTTTAAACATCAACAAGAAGAAGCTTATTTGGAGAGCAATAAAGCTTTTTTTTTTTTTAAGGATATACTGACTAGCTATAGGTAAATTAATCTTTCCCTGATTGCTTGCTTAGATGACCCAGGCTCAGTGCCTCGCAGCTTTGCAGATTTTGTCATACACTTCTGGAAAGGCATCCTTGCAATTCATCTGCTCCCTCAGCTTGTGGTATAACGAACCATCAAACATGTCCCAGAACTCCTCACGGGTCATATAGCAATCTGCATACAGCATCTGGAAACTGGAGCGGGGCCGGGGGGAAGAGACAGAGATTCAATATTAACTGTGCCACAAGATTTGAAACAGAGTATTAAAAAAAAAAAATCAGGGCAAGCTATGAATAGCAAATATTCAACAAAAAACCCCATTCACAATATTTCTTAAAAACAAGCAAATATAATTGGTCACATGGATTACACCGGGACACTCAGCCAATTCTGTTCTGTGGATTTACCATTATCATGATCTCTTTTCCAAGAGGAATTAACGTGTAATGCTGAAAAGAGCAGAATATTGCTAGAGTCATTTTGGTGAAGGGGAAGATGGCAAAAGAAAACAAAGTCACTGTTCCTTTTAAAATATGGTTCAGAACACTTCTTTAGCCATCAATGTATTGATACTTTCATTTGTTTTGCTGCTACAGAGAGAAAAGGGGAAGGACTAAAAAATGCGTATGAAACAGTGGTTCACGTTTAGACATCCTAACCACGTGCAGCCAAATCTTCTGACCAGCTGTATTCTAACAACTTGTGTTCACAGAAACCCAAGTCCAGAGAGAACTTCCCCCAAATCAAGAGTCTGGCCCCGTGCACAGAAAACCACACATAGCCTAAATCCTCCCTTATAAATACTTTCCTAACTACTCTTGAAAGCCTGCTTTCCTTTTTCTTCCATTCAAAACCTTTTAATTCTAGCTTCAAAAAAAAAAAGTCTTCTTCCTGCACGCTTTCCTATGATCCACGGAGGTACAGTCACGGCGCCTCGTATTAGCCTGCGTTACAAAATGCATTGAAGGCAGATGAGCAATACGTTCTTTGACTCTTTGTGGTTTCTTTGAACTGGACATCGAGAATCTAGCTAGGAAGGCAAAAGCCTGCCAAATCCGACCAGGCCGAGAAGATAAATTCATAGTGTAGATGAAGCACAGTGTAGCAAAGGTCCATTTACAAAAATAAATGAAATCCTTATTTATCTGTGGACTCTTCCTTACTTTCATACTGTGCTCTCCAAAATGCAGCCAGCATCAGAGTACAGCAGTAAAACACAAACTGTTACATAAAAGCTCTGTTGTTGTGTGTGATTACGAAACTGTGAGTTAAGCATTTATCCATTGTTCGTTTCCCAGTGACAGGCAGAGAAGGGACAAAACTTTGCTAGTAAAGAACTTTAAATTAAAAGTCTAATTTCAAGTTAATTAAAAAAAGCTTAAAATTAACTTCCACTTGCTTTGTTCTCTGGCCGATCACTTATTGCAGCTAAAGGTCATTTACAATCATCTTGAAGCAGACTCACCATTGTTACTCAGCCACAAGGGATGTAATCGCCATTAGACCGAGAAGTAGGTCAAAACAGAGATGTGGATAAATCATACTGATGGTGTAAAAATACCGTGTAGTTGTTTTTTGTTTCTGAGAAACAAGCCTGTAACTGCTTCTCCACTGACACTACTACAGCAAATTGGGCTGGCATGAGTTTGTGACAGATGGTGGGCACATATCTCACACCTACTGCGGCCCTGTGGAGTAAGAATCAGGGCAGGGGAAAGGAAGCTATGGAAGCATAAGTTGTGGGGAAGGAAAGCCTCCTGCCGCCACACAGGGACCGCAGGGAATGGTCAAGGCTGGCCTCCTCGTGCAAGGACACACCAGCGCAAGGACGGGGCAGAACTGCAGCATGACGCTGCAAGGGCTGCAGGGAACAGAAAAGTCCCAAGGGCAGGCAGGGAAGCTGTCCAGACTTTAACAGCCTGCGGGATTCCTGGAGGGACTGCGGCCGGCTGCGGCCAAAGCAGCACTTGCTCTGCCCCTGCTCTGAACCGGCCTGAAACAAGCCAGCCTTGCTACGCCATCCCAGCGGCTGCCTTCCTGAGGGCTGGGCTGGCCAGCCTCACCAGCAGCTGACACTGAGCCCCACTAACACCGCTCCTGGACAGCAACTGGTTTGTGCGCAGCCAGTACCGACCTGCTGAGCTCTTTCTGCACCTGGGTGTGTGGATGTATTTTGGTGCAGCAGAGACCCTACTCCCAGAGCAGCCTGGAGCTGAAAGGACGCGCCGGTGACCTGAAGCTACCCCGCTCCCAGATACGCTGCAAGAACGTCAGCCAATGCGCTCGTTTGGTTGGTTGGTTTTGCAATCAAATAATGAAATCGCAACATCAAAATTAGTAAATAAAATTAGTCTTCAGTTACTGTGGTTGTTAAATTATTGCAACGTTAAAGTGCTGTGGGAATAAATAACTGTGATTAAACTACACAGTGTAAATTATACGGCATTATTACTGTTCTAAGAAATGGGATCCTTACCCGTGCACACTTCTTACAAACTTTTCCATTTGCCTCATTGAAGCCCTGGCTTCAAATTGTTTGCTTTTGGGCTCTCCATAAGCTCCTATATCCACGTAGAGTTCTGCTTCATCCCCTTTTGGGTGGACCATACCAGGATTATTGGGCAATATGAAAGGACATAACCAAAGAGGGTACACCTGCAGAGGTAAGAAAACACTTTATCACTTATTTTTAACAAAATAATCCTTTAAGCTATCTCTACATACAGGTGACAAAATGAAGAGTTAAGAGGATTTCTTCCCAATTTGGGATTGAATCTTACACAGCTCTTCTTTTCTGATTGACTTGCCGTGGTTCTTAGCTACACTTTCTAATGACTGTACCACAGACCGATCGAGATGCTCAGAATTTGTGCTGCGTCCTCCTAGAATTACATCTCCTCCCCCTTAAATACTTGAAAAAAACCCACCATCCCTGATCCCAAAGCAACAACTGAGTAAACATTCTGAGTAAAAAGAGAATGAAGAGCTTTCTTTTCCAGGTCAGTCCAAAACTGAAATTGCCACATTTGTACTTCTCATACTAACTAAAATAAATTCAGAAATAAAAGCAAGAAAGGGAATTTAATTCCCACAGCTGGGTTTAGTGAGACCGCCAGTCATTTTAAGTGAAAGAAAAATCAGTTCACTTCACTAAGTGATAAAATCTGAGAAGTGCTGGCCTTCTACTAAAGTCTGAATCTCCCTTTTTTAAAATTCTTTTTTTCAGAAAGCTGCGTTCATTTCTTCTGCGGCCTTGCACCACAGACTCGCAAAGCACAGTACTCCCCAGGATACAATCATGACCTTCTACACACGCAGACTATTACGTCTTAAGATGAACAGTCACAGTTCTGATTACACACAGTGCAAGGTTCGCCGCATTTTAAGAACATGTGTTCTTACATTAAGGTCAACGTGGAAGGTTTGGATAGATTTTTCAAGGCTCTTCATTGGCACCAACATGTCCTGTACAACATGGTGTTGCTCATACAGCTTTCGAATAGCTTCTCCTTGGGTGAGTTTTAACAAAGAGATTTTTGGAGGAACCATCCAGCCAAACAGGTAACGGAAAACAGGGTTATTGCCAAAAGGAATAATATCCTTTAAAGAGGAAAGAAAAAGAGTTTGACTTAAGAATGTGTAAGCAAACCAAAAGACAATACTTGAGAATCCTCAGAGCAATATTAAGCCAGATTTTCAAGAAATTTAACTGCTGTTACTTTTGCTAAATAACTATAACACAAATATGAACAAATAAGAGAGGCCTGGACTGAACTCGGCTACACAGCCCTGCCCTGAGCCTCCTCTAGTTACAACGACTGATTTTCAGTCACACAAATCACGACATACTCAGCCCCAAATAATTTCAGAGAACGAAGTTCAGAGAACAGCAGGCTATTATCTTAAAACAGCTAAGGAAGTAGTGCTTAAGAAGCTAAACTTACAGAACTCTTGCCAGAATAAACACATACAAGATCAGTTCTTAAAAGAATTTCAAAGCTGTAAAATTTTCAGTACTTCCTGCACAGCCAACTCCTGATTAACTGCTCTGGGAGCTGAAAGGATCGGGTCTCTCACTCCAGAGATTCAAAATGTAGCAATGGGAATCTTGCAGAATGCCAAATAGAGTTTTGCGTAAATGCCCATCACAACTAATACATTTATGAAATTCGAAGTAACAACCTTACTGCATAATTACTATTCTGAGTTTAGGCAGGGCAAGTTTTCAGCCATAATTTTACATTCACTTTTTTTCCATCATCTGTCTTTAAAAATCACTTAGTAGGTATAAAAGCTTAACGCTGAAATATGTACTTAAGGTCTAAATTCAGAAAAGCACTACAACAGAAACTAGGAGGCTACGTCTTATATATAAGGAAGTGCCTTTGTATTTGTTTTGCCCCAAAGCAGGACTTTTAAATTTGCCATAAGCTTCACTGATTTTACTGCCGTGAAAGACACAAGTGCTGCCAAAGGGAAGCAGGTACATTGTACCTACACTGGTAAAGAGCAGAGTACCCTCCTGCAGATGTCATTTTAATTTTGGAACTAGTCTTACCTGGAGCTCCCAAAAGATACTGCGTGTATGTCTATGGTAATAATGTCTTGAGGGAATGTATTCTACACCAGTCCTATCAGCTTTCAAATACTTCTCCACATGCTTAAAGAACCACGGCTTGTAGTAGTTGCCAATTCTGTTTATCTACAAGAAAACAGGCATTCATTCGCAAACACCAACACAGGTAACAGTTACACCTTACTAGACAACATTAAGTACGACCCCAAATGCCTTCACTGTGAGGAATCAACCTTGTGCCCTCTGGGACAGTTTGAATGAGACTGTCACAAGAGATCTAGGGAGCTTCCACTTCTCCACATGCACAGCTCCTTCTTACCTTTCTTGCCATTCAGGTTTAATTTAAATTAGGCTTGCTAAGGTTTGTCTGTTACCAGCTAATTATGAGACCATGAATGTGACAGAACTGAATTCCTAAAATATCGATCTCTCAACCCATCATTAACCCAAAGTCTCACTACAGCAGAGGAGAAACACCCAGGTTGAGGGATGCAGTGAACAGTGAGCGCGTCCCTCCTGTAAATGTCCCTGAGGTGTCTTCCCAATATTGACTGTATTAAAAGCTTGCTGGGAAAAGAGTTACTCTGAATAACTGCCATTTAAAACAGCATTGTTCCATATATGAGGAAAGATAATTCTCTTCCTCCTTAGGTACTGCAATGAAAAGGCTATAGACTAAATTACTTGCTAGAAGAATGAAATTAGTGGGTCATTTCTTGTCAACTGAAGAGATTCAGAGTACAGTCTCTGTCGTAGTAACAAAGAGCTGTAATTTAGAATATTCTGACCGACAGATCTAACTTTTAATCCCACGTTAAGAGACTGTTCCAATCTCATGATACTGGTTTTATACTGGCATATAGTACAGCTTCAGCTAAACTTTGGGGGTGTTTTTTTCCTTTGTGAGTAACTTCCCTTCAGTTACCTTGCTTTGCTCAGCTTCATCGGTCAAGATTCCTGTCATGATGACTGCTTCTTCCAAAGAATACACAAGTCCTTCCACAAAACTATTCTCCTTTTTCTTAGATTCTTCAGTAAACTTTTCACAAATCTTCTGCAGTCCTCTCACAGGCTCATAATGTATTTTGACATATTTCTTGGCAGGAATCATTTTTATTTCTGCTGCAACCAGGAAACCCAGAGTACCACAAGACCAAGGCACTGCATAAAATAGGTCTGAATTTTCAGTCTGCAAAAAGTATGTCATACTAAATCATACAACCATACCAATAACTGTCAACGACATTGTAAATGATAGCAAAGTAATATTTTGTCTTACTGGTGAACATCTCACAAGGCTTCCATCAGCAAGAACAAGTTCATAGGCCACACAGGTGTGCTGAAAAAGTCCATAGATGTGGGATGAAGACTCAATGCCAGTTCCCATGATCAGGCCACCTTATCAAGAGAGCACATAACAAATCAAATGAAACACAGTCCAAAATGAAGGTGGTTTATCAGAACAAAAACCCACTTCTAAGCTCCGGGCATGGCTTTTAAGACTATTAAAAGAAAAAACAGGAAGTGCTTATAACATAAATACCACAACAGAACGTAAGGTTCAATAGAGTATTTCCAGAACTTTTTAAAAGAATGCAACGTGTTACTATATAAAAAGCTAATGAAAATGCAGCAAAATCAGTGACTCCTTTCTCATCACAACGACCCTTACCTACTGTAAGGTCATCCAGCTCTGGAACCACAGGAACGGTCCAGCCCATGGGATTCAGGTGTGCTGTCAACTGGCCCATGGTCACCAAAGGTTCCACACGAACAACCTAAACCACAGAAAACCCGAATTCGCCCCACCAAACACAAATTAAGTGTTCAGCATTAACGATGACAAAACATGGCTAACTGGATTGTACTTCCATCTGTTACCAGAATTCAGAGACTTACTTTCCTAAGAGCACTACTAAAAATAGTTGAAACTGTTCAGTGATTCCTCCTCTGCCTTAACGTCTTGTTGCTCAGTCCCCCAAACCATAAATCAATCTGGTCTTTTAGACTTCAGCACATAAAAGCTAAGCAATTCCATATGCTGCTTTTTTTGGATAGAATGATCCAAGCACACGTTGTAAAACCTGAAATTTGGTGGGTCTACTCCTACAAAAATACTTTGTTCTTTATGGAATCTAATCCCTTCTTCAGCTACAAATACAGTAAAAAAAGCGGTAAATGTCATTATTATGAAAGCCTTGTGACGAATTTGTTACCTGTCTTTCACTGTCCACGTCCAGAACATCCATTAAGTTGATCATGATGTTCTTATGAATCTTCTTGTACTTTCCGACACGAAGTGATACAGTCAGCCAGCCAGGCCGGCCAGTGCACATGTATCTTTTGCTGCCTTCGTTTTTCCATTCCCGAACCTGCAAGAGGTAACGTGTTACCTGCAAGTAACAAAGCCTGGATGTCCCTGTGTTGAGCAGCAACACTTTGGAATTTTCTCTGCAGATCTCTGAACTTCTAAATAAAACACCACCAGAGGGGTCTAGTCATGTAGGGAAGCATTTCTAACACCCCGTAGGCCTTTGGGTTTTTTTGGAGACGGGACTCCAAAAACTAGAATGAAAGTTTTAAAGACCTACAGGGAAACCTATACTCAGAGGGAGGTATTACCACTGTCATAAGTAATGTCAGTTCCGTGAAGGTTAATGAAACAACGCCTCTTAAACACACCAAAAAAATGGTCTGGGCCTGAACATGAACAGGCAAAGAGAGTAAAGTTGAGAAGGAAAATGTGTAAGCCATACACATGATCCATGAATTTTGCCAAGCCACAGCGGTTCACATCCGGAGAACAAACACCAATTGTAGCATTTTCTTCAAAGCTCAACTGCTACTGCAGCTGGTGATAAAACACCCACCCCCAAACCCTCAAAGAACAACTCCGCGCACACTAATACCCATCTGTATCTGCAATGAACATGAGAGTCAAGGAAGAAAACAGAAGTAGACGCAACAGAGTTATCATAAATACTGGAGAGCACAGAAACATTAAAGCCATCTGCATTTCTGGGCGGAAGAGAAGTTGCAGCTCCCCCTCAATCATCTCTCGGAGCTAACAACGCCGAGCAGCAGGATGTAAGCGGTGTTAAAGCAGGGCACTGAGCCAGACGAACTTTTTCCCAGGTGACCTGGGCGCACACAGGTTCGTGCCCCAGCCGTGTCAGCGTGCGGAGAGCCGCAGCGTGTCCCTCGGGGTGCCACGACAGCAGCCACACCTGCATCTGCCAGGGGCTGAGGCCGCAACTTCGAGAGGAGTTTCAGATAGGGGGAAAAAAAACCCCAGACCACAGGGGCAGGAACACCCGCTGGCTTTTATTGGCTCGCTTCTCCCCGCAACCGGATTCAAGGCTGGATTTGGCCCAGGCTCCGGGGAGGTA